TATTGTTGTAACTACTTTTTGAGGCTCCAGAGCAATTTTACTCCCACACGTCAGGTATAGTGTCAGAAGTGTTCTTGGTTGAGGCCACATTGGGAATTTGCCTCTTCCAATGCATTATTGCAATGGGGGCCTTGTAAAGGCTTAATTTAGACAAGTGACAGTTCCAAATCCTAACCCGTCGTTATTAAACCAGCTGGAGAAGATGGAAGCACTCATTCTGGTGCCTCAGGCTACATATTAAGAGGGTTTTTTGTCAGTGTCTGGTAGGAGTAGGGTGCAAACTGACATATGGGCAGCTAAGAAAAAGAGCATGCATTTACACAGACAGGCATAGCACAGTGTGTGTTTCTGTAGCCTTGCCTTTTGAAGCCAAATGGTCTCTTTCCTTTCTTTCTCCCACCCATGTGTATTTTTCATTTATTTCCCCCTTACCCCTCCCCTCTTTCCTTTCTCTCTCCATCTCTCTGTCTCCTCCTTTCTTTCTCTCTGATTATCAAAGAAATAATGCTGTCAACTTTCTAAAACTTTCAAATGTGGGTTCATGAGTTAATTTGTTAAAAAATAAAAAGGAACTCTCAGCTGAAATATGAGTCAACTTTTGACCAGAATTAAATATTAGTTGTAGTTCATAAGAAATAATCTCCATTTTCTCCGTATTGTACAAGAAATAAACATTGTCATTGACAGTACATGAGTGATCAGAGAACCTCCTTTTGCCACATTCATTAAGAGACCTAAAATAAGCAATCTTTGTATCCAATAGAGTTTTTAGCAGTCTGAGAAATCATAGAATTTCTCACAACAGTATTACTCGGTGTATTTTTATTAAATCTAAGGGCCTATTCAGATCTCAGTAGGTTCTATAGTTGCCATTTAATACGATCTTCTGAGTTAGAGTTAGCTTCATGTTGTACTCAAATAGTCATTCACCCAACAATCATTTAAACACTTGCTCTGAGCCAGGAGCTTGGCTAGATTCTGAGAATATAGACAGGATCCCTGCCTCAAGGACCTTGTATCCTCTAGGAGGAGAAAAAGATGTCAACAAATACAGAGGCCACTTGAATAACAAGGACTACAGTGGAAGCCTGTGCAGGGTAGGAAACAAATCAAGGAAACCAGTAACTGGGCAGGGGGGATGAGAGATTGAAGCATTTCTGAGATATGGGCAAATCCTTAAATCTAAGGATTTGAACTGAATCATGAACATTTTTATTTCTGTACCACAGGAAATAGGGGAGTCAGGCTACAGAAATGAGTGAGAGAGAAAATCCTAAGATAGATCTTGGAAGGCTTTCTTACCATGTCAAGGCTCTTGGAGTCTTTTATGATGACCCACTGAAAGGTTATAGTCTTTACAAGTGCCATTATCAGTTTTATATTTTAGCAAAACCCTCTGCTTGAGATTTTGAGAAGTTGGATTGGTAGAGGAAAAGTTTGAAGCCTAAAGACCAGTTAGAAGATCATTGCATGAGTCAAGACAGGAGACAAGAGGACTAGAGTAGTGCAGTAGTGGTGGTGACAAAGAGAGGGGAAAAAACATGGTGGAGTTACAAAGCCACAAGATGCTCAGGTCTTGATTGGAATTGAATATAGGACACAAGGGAAAGGCTTGTGGTACCAACCGTCATGTTCTTCTATATTGCTCAGGTAAAAAATCTTTATTTTTACTCTGAGGATGGGAATACAAGAAGAGAAGTTGATTTTTTTTAATAAGACAATGAATCCAGTATTTATCCAAATGTATCAAAAAAGCACTCTTGCTGGAAATATCTTCATGTCAACTCCTGATTAGTCTTAGAACCATTATAACATCTGAAAACAACATGGAGTGTAATTCTTTTTATATACTTATTCATTTTAAGAAAAAATATAACTTCACTACCAATCCACCAAACTTCTTAAAGGTGTAATATAGTGGCTTTTGAATTCATGAGAAGCAATGCTCATTTGTCAATATAATAATTTGGTATGTAGACATGGGCTTTGGTCTTGGTGTAGTTAAAAGTAATGTAATACCTATCAAGATGGAGAGCCAAAGGTTCTTTATTTATTTTTTTTTTTTAGTAATTGTAAGTCAAGGTTTAAGTATATAGTCTTGCAGTGTGCCAACATAAAAATTCCCAGCTTTTTGTGAAGATTTTATTATCAGCACATTGAGTATTTCCACACTGTTAACTTATTTTTTCCAATCATTGAATGCAATAGTTTTCTGAACTTCTTTTTTCTGTTGTATCTGAATTTTTTTCAGAATTCTAATCCCAAAAACATTTAATGCATCTAAGATACAGTGTCATGTATTCATCATTTGCAAGATTTTTTGTTACCTAAAATAATTTACTACATTTTTAGGTCTTAAAAGACATTTTAAGGCATCTTGATGTGCTGATCTTAGGCTAATAAACAGACAAATAATAGTTTAGGATAACCTAAGTAAAGTAATAATTGTATTAGAATCTGTAGAGTTTAACATGAGGCTTTCATATCAAATCCTTTTTCTACTGGCCAGTGACTAAATAACCTTAAGAAGATATCCTAAACTCTCCATGCCTCAGTTTTTTATTGATAAAATTTTTTAAGTAATATTTTTTTCCTCGGAGAGTTTTTGTGATAATTAAATGAGAGAATTTACAGTACATCCTAACACTGTGCTTAGCAGCCCAAAAATGCTAAGGAAGAGGAGAGAGATAAAAGGTTTAAGTAAATATTCAATAAATTAGATTTATGTCTATTTTTAAATTTGCCTATCACAAGGATGTAGAAATTTTGAATAAGAATTTTTATCCTTACAGTTTACCATCCTCATTTAGGTGGCATTTGGTAAAAGTAAGTGAATTACATGATATAAAGTACCTTCTATTTCTGATTGAATCTCCAGGAATAAATAAAGCCCTTTTCAGTGTGGAAACATCATTAAAACAGCATTAGTCATCTAAATAACACATTTATCATTAAATATGATTATTCCCATTTTAACTGGAAATTTCTTAACATCTAGATGAAACAGAAGAGATGTTTTACCCATCAAAGAAAGAGAAGAAAATTGTATTGCATGTCCTCTGGATTTATAATTATTTCCAATACTGCTTTCACTTGTTTGTAGTTGTGCAGCCTCTGACAAATTTCAGAATCACATAAATACATTGCAGTCATTTTCATATGCATGCCATGGTGGTAAATGTCATGTTCTTTTCCAAAGTTTTAAAATAGTAGGCTTTTAGTATAGCTTTGCCTTAAAGAAGATACTGTGGAAAACTTACATAATTGGTCCAATATTTTATAAGACAGGACTATTGAGGTTGCTAGTAATTAAATTTAGTAACTATCAGTATGTGTAGCTATCCGAATCCCTAAAAGTGAATGAGGCTGCTGAGAAACATTTTCCCCTCTTCCACCTCTAGCCACCTCAGCAGAGGCACCATCACCCTATATCTTGTCTATTGCAGTAAAAAATTGAAGCTTCTCTGCCCTAGTCTTGGGCATGTAACTTCATTTTCCGCACAGCAGCCAGAGAGGATATATCATGCCACTTCTCTGCTTAATAATAACAAAATAAATCTTCCCATTGCACTCAATAAAGCCCAAACTCCTCACCAAGCCATAGGATCTAGATACTTCTATGAACATTCTCCTCCCTCCCTTACTCATCCTTCTAGAAGAATACTGGCTTATTCCTTCCTAAAGTTTTGTGCTAGCTTTTTCCTCTTCTTGGAAATCTCCCCTCCAAATTGTTCATGGAAACTCTTCTATTACTTAAGTTCAATGAAAAATGTTCTCTCTTCAGAAATATCTTTCCTGCCCATGGGGTATATTTTTTTTTTTCAAATGGACACATTTTCACTTTGAGAAATATTTGCAATATCTAGCACTACTGACCAAAAAAATAACAAATTCTTTTTTTCCTGTTATTTAGCATGACTTAATATTTTCCTACAGAACCTCCACTCTTCCCATGTGTAACGTAGGCTCATACTGGCCTAAGTTTCAATGAAATTGTATCCTATGCATAGAAAGAATCCATCTCCTGAAGGAGGTGGGTGCACTTGGTCCAGTAGTCTTCTGCAGCACAAATCTTAAGACTTCTCCATTTGCTCTATGTAGAAAGTCCCAAACTACAGTTCATTAAAGGCTAATGAAAATTTGAAAACAGTGTGTCTGATGTGCTGTTTTTAAATCCAGATGTGTAGGGAAAGAGGAGGTACTGGGAAATGAAATTAATAAAATTATTTGTTATATTGTGTGCATGTATGAATATGAATCTCTGCATCATGTATTATTATAATGCACCCCCAAATTTTAATAAATAAATAAATATATGTGTGCTGGGGCTGGGCATGTGTCTCAGAGATAACTCTTGCCTAGCATGGGAGAGGACCTGAGTTCGATGCTTAGCACTGCCAAAACTTCATTGTTTAAAAAAATGCATATGTGCAAAATTGGATGAATAAAAATGAAAATCCACAAATCATTAAAAAGTTCATGGATCAGAACAGATAACTCCAAGGCCACAGTCACCTTCCTCGTGAATGAAGCAAGTGTAGCTCTTAGAAATAATGAAATTGGCTTCAAAGAATTGGACAGATTTAGCACTTCTGTGATATGCAGCCTAGCACATGGATTCCCTCTGCTTAATTGCTGCACTTACAACGTGTCAGGACCTTCTGGGGAGCCAGCAGCGCCCTGGAATATCCAGTAAGCGGTCATGTGCCTATGTGTTAAAACTCTTAGAAAGTACAAACATACCACCTGCCAGGGACATTTTTATAGAACTGTAATCTGTTTTTTGTTTTGACAGCCATGTATGAAAGGCTAAGAATACTTTGGGGTCAATTTCCATGATATGATATTCAATATTGGGAGAGAAATTATTATTACTATGTTATCTATCAGTTCTCCTGGATCAGACTCTTAGAAAAAAAAAAAAAAGTTGTTTTATCCCTATTTTCCAAATGGCTAATACTCTTCCTCTGAAAAGCACTGTTTCTGTTTGGCTATTTCAGCACTTTTATGTAATGGAAAATTTCACAAACACTTGCAAGAGATCTTTGTGCCTTTGGTTGTCCGCTACGTGGATCTCATGGAGTCCTCCATCGCCCAATCAATTCACAGAGGTTTTGAGCAAGAGACATGGCAGCCTGTCAAGTAGGTATCTTACCTAGTGTCCACAGAGCCTCTGCCTCTCAAGCCTGACCTTATGACTTTACACATGGCCATCTGTAGTTATTGCTTATGGTGGTCCCTTCCCACGTTGTTTGTTTCTTTACAGGAATATCGCCAACAGTCTTCCCAATGTAGCTCTTCCAAAAGTTCCAAGTCTGCCTCTTAATCTTCCACAGATTCCTAGCCTTTCTACTCCTTCGTGGATGGCTTCTTTATATGAGTCCACGTGTGTATCCCTCACTTATTTCCTGGTGGTGTGTGTTAGCTACTGCATGGCCTGGGCTGTGTTTGTGCAGATGTGTTTAGATTGCATGGCATTTATCATCATTAGTTGAAGAATACTACAGTTTCGGTTTTATTTGTTTGAGTCTTTTAAGCTATTAAGCTAAGCTTAGCATATCGATGATAAATGATGCAAGTTGAAAAATGCAAAACCACACTGGTTTGATGTAATTCACATGTGATCTACAGAACAGGGGTCATTTTGTGATCCAGTTTTGTCAACTCTTCCCTAAGTGATAGAACCAAATCCTCCTTGTACAGACAGTGTGATAAGTATATTTTAAGGGTACTTAGGTTTAGCTTTCTTATTGCCCACATATTTATCTTGTGCATGTAGAAAGCCATTATAAAAATGTTTTCAAGAATATATTTTTGGGCTTGGATTTGGCTCTGTGGTAGAGCACTTGCCTAGCATGTGTGAGGCATTGGGTTCAATTCTCAGCACCACATAAACACAAATAAATTAAAGTTATTGTGTTTATCTACAACTAAAAAATATTTTAAAAAGAATATAATCTTTTCTGTTTATCTTAGTCTGAATGTTAAAATAACAGTATTGCACCTTGCAGGAAATTCCTTTATTTCCAAGCAGTGGGAAGTTCTCCTTTTGTTCCTTTAATGTATTAGTTGGCACACATTGTTATTTTAAAATATTCTTTATACCATTAAAAAGCCATATTTTTAATTCCACATGGGGATAAGCCTACCTGTTGCAATTCAGAAACTAAGAGTCATTAAAGTAAAGTTATTGGCTTTGAAATTGATCAGGTCTGAATTTAGATCTTAGGTTCTTAATCATAAATCTTTCTTAGCCTCACTTTCTCAACTCTAAAATGGTCATGGCACCTAATTCAAAGATATTTTTGTAGAGACTGGAAAAAAAAACTGTAGGGAAATTCCTGCATGTCCTAGGCTTTCAATAAATGATGACTACAATAGGCACATCCTAAGTACCTAGTAAATAATTATTACTACTACTACATATTATTATTATTATAACTATCACCAGTCCTTCTCATTTTCAATTATAACTGTAAAGGTTTAAAAACTATGAGCCTTACAGCAAGCAAATGAACTAAGTAACTAGTTCACAAATATAAAAATCTCAAGTAGGCAATAACATCTTTTGCCCAAGATATCACATGAAGTCAGAAAGAATAAATATTAGAAGAAGAAAAATAATTTCCATTTATTGAGAGCTTACTGTGTTCTTGGGATAGTGCCATGTTCTTTACCTACAACTCTATAAGGTAAGTGCCATTATCTCCATTTTACCGTTAAGAAATGCTAGTTACAAAGACATTAAGAAAGAAAACTTGCCCAATGTCTCACATAAGCAAATGACAGGCAAAATTTGAAGTCAGTTTGCTTGATTACAAAGCCCTTATTTTTATTCAATATTTTTCTGCTTTCAGAAAACAGATTGTTTAAAAAGTTACTAGCTTTCTCTCTATCCCACCACCAACTGTCAACTCTATACCCAAACTAGTAAACACAGACAAGAAAACACAGGGAAAGACCAAGAAAGAGAACAGCTTGCAAAACAGCTTGGCAATATTTCTCCAAGTTAAACATCACCACTGGACTTATATTGCCAGGATATTATTTTACATGTGAATCTTTCTCTTATAGGCAAATGCTTTGGGCCATTGTAGTATGTAGAGCAGTATGTGTGCGTGCACTCAGGAATTAACTGCAAAGTGTAATGAACCTCTCTAAGTGTATGAGATTTGGTACTTCTTTATGCTGTTGTATAATTTAATTCTTCTTCCTCATTCTTCATCAATTTCACACCTTGATTTTGACCAAGAACACAATTGTGGAGGGTAATCTGTAAAATATAGTTTTTTCTTATTGCCATTTTTTTTTTTTTTTAGCTTTGAGGTTTATGTGAACCACGAATCCCTTATTAGTAAAGACCCCGTTTTAAAATGCTGAGAATCTCAGGAGAGGAATTATGACAAATTGAGGCTTTATAAATACTTTTTCTCTCCCTGTTCTAGGCAAATTTTAAAAAAAAAATATGTTCTACAAATCAATCACTATTATTTTTACCTACCAAGATTATCAACGTTAGGTTCTTTATCATGATGTCCAGAATTCACATAATGTTATGATGTCATTGCAGTTGGCTTTTTGTTGTTTTATTGTAAAATTTTAAATAAGAAGAAATATTTCCATTTCACATAAAATATTAAAGATATAACTCCGTATTTAGATAAATTTATTTACATATTTATATAATGTATAAATGTATATAATATATAAGCATTTATTTATCTTTTTTATATTTTATAAAATCTTCATCCCCAGCCTGGAGATGTAGTTCAGTGATAGAGCCAACCTAACACATGCAAGGCCCAAAGTTTGCTCTCCAACACCACAAAAATAAATAAAGAAACAAAAGCAAATATGGGTTTGAAGAGACAGACCTACCTAGTAGCACATGACTCATGCTGAGGATCTCCTTTAAAGAAAAAAATTGATGTTCTTCCACATCTTTTTATATATAAAATCTTTATTTTCAGTATTTTTGCTTTTGAAATGAATACCAGTAAGGTAAATTTCCTGCAGGCATATTTAGGAGATCTCTTGGAGTCCATTATTCATATTTGAATTACTTTAATCTGTTAATAATACCTTTAGGAATAGGTCACTGATTAGAAATAATTTAAAATAGAAAAGCTCTGAATAAATTGCAGGTTACAGGTACCAACTCCAAAGAAAGCCTATTTACATTTCTTCATCTATCTATTTAATTATAACAAACACTTGTTATCTTAATTACATTCCCAATTAAGCACATGTCCAAAATCTTGCCGTAGCATAAACAGAAGAAAAATATCCATATTTTCTTCAAAGATTTAATTGTCATGAATAAATTTTTAATAGCAATCTGCTTTTACTGCTCAAGATTTTGCTTTGGTGGTGATTTATGTTGTCAAATAATATACATATTTCAAGTTTCGTTTCTCCAAAGTAAGAAAATATAAGAAGCAGATTTGTTGCTTCACTGATTATATCCAATTAAAACAGAGCTTTTTTAATCTACCAAACTGTACACTATAGACACATAGGGATTTTGCCTGGCCATTTTTTTCTCTTATATTTATTGTGCATATGCTAAAAGGAAAAGTAAACGTCATGTCTATTCAAACATTTTCACACCAGCATCGTCATGTATTATCTGGTTCTTTTATTTAATGGTCCACTTGGTCCATATTCAGGTGAGGAGACTTTAGGTGAGTAAAGTTCTGTGCACTGTTTTGCTGTGATTAGTCCCTTGAGAACTTAACTCTGAGGACAGCTTGGCTAGACCAGGAGATCACAGAAATTGCCATCAGCATGGGAGGGGGAAAGCAACGGAGCTGAGACACTGCCAGGGTACAGGGCAGAAACATAGCTTTTAATTAGCCAGAGCAAGAGGTGATTTCTCTAAACTTGCTAATTAAGATATGTTTAGCTAAATAATATGATTATTTAAAATCGCTTTATTTTCATAAAAGTTTTCCACTGTGCCCTTATAATAAATGAGTTTATTTCTTCTGTTTTCTTTTGCAAAGTGAAAATATAAATTTTAGTTTAGTATCTATGAAGCAATGGTTAGAAAGCTAAGGACAAATGAATCAGACAGCAGCTTTTTTTTTTTTCTCTTTGTTCTCTTTACAGTTCAGTTTCATTATGTTTTAATGTAGGAGTATTTTACTTCCAAAACATCTCTCTCCCTATTAACCTATATACTTACATAATGGAAAGTGCCAGCATTATCATTTGCCCAAATATTATATGAACTCCTCTAAAATTACCTTCATGAGTGGTGTGAAAATACAGTCCCTTAGAGTAATTTTACCATAGTAGTGAATGTAGAGCATATTTTGGCTCCACAGTTGGACATAAGGACTTGAAATGCATGAATCTGCTCTGACTTCAGAGCACCCTGAATGTCTTTTCTCTGTTAAACCACCTTGACTAAGGTAGATTCTAATTATGAGCTAGAATAGTCACAAAGCACTTCAAAATGAAAATAAAGGTTTGCTTCCTTACCTGGCCTGTCATTTTGTTTTCAGTTCATTTCTACCTATAATGGAGTGATAGTCTAAGGTGTGTGCTATATACCTATAGACAGAAGCCATCATAAGATAGGCACATGTGCAGGACAAAAGAATAAAGCCAAAGATGCTGTCATATGAATTTCTTGCATAAAATATACATTTTAGAATTTCTGGGAAAAAAATATTTGTGTATTTATCCTACAGATTGGTAAAGAATCTTAAAAATGTTGTTCTTATATATACACAATTTATTTCCTTTCCCTAGTTAGCTATCCTTATCCTCCTATCCTTTTTTTAAATCTTACTACTGTATTTATTTATATTTTATTCTCCTTATTAAAATTAGAAAGGAAGAATTAGAAGGCTGGACAAAGAAATATAGGGTCACTGGATATTTTATGCGGTACTTTTTTGCTAACAGCAATAGATACAGAATGGAAAACAACAAATTGTTGGTCCACATAGTTAATGTTGGAAGTGCATGATGTTCTTCATTTCTCCCTTTTTTTTTTTTTTCCTAGCAATGGCTCAGCAACATCAGAAGACCTTTTTTGGAAACTTGATGCACTGCAAATGTTTGTCTTTGATCTACACTGGCCAGAACAAGAATTTGCCCACCATTTAGAGCAAAGACTTAAACTAATGGCCAGTGATATGATAGAGGCCTGTGTCAAAAGGTAGACATGTATTTTCAAGTTGCTGCTTAATGTGCTAGCACCCAAGTACCTGTTATATGATTATCATATGAAAGAATTCAACATATAATGCTATTTCCAAAATTTCATGGGCCGTAGTTTCCCTCACCTAAATTCTGGAAACCCATGTAATTGACTAAATTGACCTGACACTTTTTTTTTTCAGGTCTCCCATCCATTGTCCTAATCAGTAGCACCCATAACACATGAATCATTTTTGTTGTACTTATTATCAGTCTGGGAATACTGTACTTTAAATTCCCAAGGTAATATCTTATGAGACATATGGAAAAGGTCTGTTGAGTTCTTAATGCATTATGTACTGTGTCTGTGTACTGTGAAATGGCATGGCAAACTCAAAATATGATCAGCATTTTTTCTGGGATTGCTCAATGTTTTCGGGTATTCTCTGTCCACACCAGATGAATGTCATGTATCTGCTTACATTCTTTAGCACTTAACCAGAAACAAGTCATTGGACTTTGGATTCTTCCAAATCTGCTTTCATTTTTTTTAGAAGTTTCTGCAAAATCAGCATTGCATTCTAATTGGGTAAATATTTTTTCCATTGCCCTTGTTTAGGATATGTTCAAGATATGTTCAAGAATGCTGTAGGGCAGCATATTGGAATAACAGTCAAACACTGGTTGGAGCAATTGAATATTCCTGAATTCATTAAATCAAGAAAAATCTTGTCTTGTTTAATGGCTATGGATTAAATTAAGGACATGCCATGGATTAAATTATTTCATATTTTTAAATCATCTGTGATTCTGATGCCTCAAATCTGTGGATAGTCTTTGGATACTTTAGCAAAATCAAAATTTTCTATTATTCACTTTATTCCCCAAACCCACCTGCAACTTCAAGTGTTTAAAAAAGAATTTAAGTGACATAAAAGAATTATATGTTCTCTATTTTACATCTTATAGTCCAGACTTGCACATTTTTTAATTTGGTGAGCCCTCACATAGAGGATTTATTATACTTGAAGGCAGAGAAGTAAATTATTTTTCTACTTGGAAATTAATTCAGGCAGTTAAGTGAATGTATGAGATTATTTCCCATTAAGTGGGATACATTAGATATAACAAAGAGCTTCATTTGAGTAGCAATATTGACCCCGTAAAGTTGGCAGCCAAATACCACTTGGTAAAGCACATTTTAAAAGGTTGTTCTTACATGTAACATTGCAGTCTGACCTTTTATTTGAGACACCTGAAAAGCACATCCCACCTCCTCCACCAGGTCCCAAGCTCTGTCACACTGCTCCCTCCTTATTTGCATGTTTTAAATTATCATCTTATAGTGTTGATTTCACATTAACAAAATAGGTGGGACATATGTCAGAATTTCTTACTCTGAATTCATGTTTTAATAACTAGAACAAGAACTGCATTTGAACTCAAGCTACAAAAGGCAAGCAAAACAACTGACTTGCGCATTCCAGCCTCTGTGTGCACAATGTTCAATGTATTAGTCGATGCCAAAAAACAAAGCACCAAACTCTGTGCCCTGGATGGAGGACAAGAGGTAAGCAGAGTGTGTGATTCACATGAGACTGCAGCACAGGGAGTCCTGGCAGGAGGGTCCTTGGCTCAGGTCACCTCCTCCTGCTTTATATAAATGTTGCCTAAAATTTTACAAGTGGCCATTGGATTTCAGATATGCAGTTTTAGGTGTTTTGTATTTACATAAACCTTGCTTTTTACAAGCAAATGAGAGAGCTAAAAAGCTACCTGCTTTGTTTAAACAAATGTAGACTATCCAGAGTTTGCATCCATACAAGCAAGCCACAAAAAATAGCATATGAAACACTTTATTTACACAAGTTTCCATTTTTTAAAGATCAAGTAGAAATCCACTTAAAAAGTAGGCCTAGTTCTTATGCACATATGTTCTATTTATTTTAGTTTGATTTATAATTTGTTTGGTTTTTAATTCACAAATACAATTTCATCTTACGCCATGATTTGTTTTGGTTGTGAGTGGTGAATGGGTTAAAATTATTTATTTTTCTTATATTATCTGTTTAAGTTGACATTTTGTTGCTTTTTTTCCCATTATAATTACTTTTTCATCATTTCTTTATTCTTCCCATATGTTCTCTTTCTTCATCATTTTTTTTCACCCATGGCATGATCCAGGTTGGTAGTCAATGGGTAAGTCTCTCTCACTTTTTTTTTTTTTTTTTAGGAAAAGCACATTCATTTTCATTTTAATTGTTATTTTTTTAGAATTGTAAATTTTTATGTTTATATTTTAAAATTAAAATAATATAATTAATTACATTTTCAGGGTTTTTACTTCTGTGTGTGTATACAAGGTTAACAGCTTACTGTAACCTAGAAATAGCCCAAAGACAAATTAAAATACATGTAAATACTTAACACCTTAAATAATACCAAGGAAAATGTTTCTTGCCTATTAGGGCTGCAGAATCTAAAAATTACGCTTAGAGTTTTTAAAGATAAAATATTTAAAGCAAAATGAACTTGCCTTTCTTTCAATGAAAATCTAAATAAATTTAGATGCAGAGTGACTATTAACAGTTTCATGCATATATTTACAGTATATATTTTCATAAATAACAGAAGAATTTACAGTTTGGAACTTTATATGATATATAGCATATTTCAGGAGAACCCCTAAATACTACTATCAGGAAGATACACCCAAAGTCGTTTCATTACTGCTGAACCCAATTGTGGATGTCAGGTTCAAGTCCACGAGTAACAATTCACTCTCAAACTCAATAAGAAATACAGGCACACAGGTGACAAGCACTGTTCTCTGGTTAAATGATTCTTATAATCAACAAAGGTAGTGGAGAGACTTTTTCCCTTGATGAAAGGTCTTCTGCAAGTATCACCCAGGTTCTTATTTCCACACACACTACATGGTTTCAAAACCTTCATGCATACTGAATTCATTAAATTGCATTCTTTATTTTGTTGTTGTTGTTGTTAGTCAAGATGTTTTAATGTCCTATGAACTTATAATGTCTTGTAAGTCTTACAGCTGACACCTGGATGTCAAAGGCAGGGCCATCTTTACTAAGCTGACAGTTTTCATCCAAGAAAAATGTTTTAGCTAATTGTGAAAGTAGATAAGAAAGCACATTATTTGTAAGTTTCAAACTTACTAACTCCGATATTGACATTAGCTATTTGCCCATAGTTTATATTTGCATGTACATACTCATAGTTCATTCTTTGAGCAATTTGGTAATGAAAATGGATTTCTAATACCATTTTGTACAGCCTTATGAATATAAGTGACTGGCACACAAGTGTTGTAGAATGTTTAGTAATTATCATTCTCTGATCATTTACAAACGATTTATTATCTCTAATTATCTGAATGAGTAGGCAGCTGGCTTAGATACCTATGGCTCTCATCACCCTTCATATTTTTCAGTACCTAAATGTGAGCTTTTGTCTACCTGAGTATATTGTCTTAAGTCTCAAAGCCCATTCTTTTCTCATCCTGATTATAGAATCATCTTGCTTCTTCCCATGAACACTGGGTTTATTCATTGGTTCTTATTTCCATACACACTACAGTACCTGGTACATAATAGGCACTTAGTAAATATTTATTGAATGTATGAACAGACTGCATTGTTGTCACTGCTTTGAAAATCCACCCCTGTAAGAAACAACTCACTCTCAAACTTAATAAGAAAAACAGGCACACACGTGACAAGCACTGTTCTCTGGTCAAATGATTCTTTACATTAATAGGTAGATGGTTTTGAGGAGTAATCTACTGTTTATTATGTCTGCACCTGTACCTTCTCACCAGAGACAATTAGTTCCCCACAACTTTCACACAATTAATATAGTTCAAAATGTGCAGGTGTAAAACCCATTAGCAACCCTGAAAAGTGGTAAACAAGAATTTCAGTGCAAAAAAAAAAAAATGAAAAAAGGATTATATAATTTATTTATTTTTTTATCTTCAGTAAATATACTCACCTAATTGCACAGGCTTTCCCTCTCTATATGTGCTAAGTTTTGAAATCGTGGCAAGAGAAACTTAGCCAATTTGGGACCTGGTAAAAATATATACTACATAGTTGAACCTAGCAGAGATCATTTCTAAATTAAAAAGAAATTACCTCTCTGAAGTATCTAGTAAATTTGTTCTATTGCCATTGCTGACGTAAAAGCCTTTCCTACACCTTGCCACAATGCAGCCCCTTCTCTGCTCCTAAATTACAATTCTGTTTCCTTACATGCCATGGGAGGATGCAAACATGCTCTGCCAGACTCAGAACAGGGTTTAATGGAGTGATTAGTGAGTGAATGATCTGCTCATGTGACAGCTATGGGTAATGAGTCAGCAGTCTCAGGCCAATCCCTCAGGGACAGATGTTGAGATCACAAACCACCACCGTGTTTAGAATCCTTGTTATCCATAGCTGCAGAGAAGCAGATGACTGCATGGGCTTCAGGCATTCACCTGCTCTCCGAGTCACTTCATCCCATGGTGCAGTTGGCTGAGGATAAGAATGAGAACACATTCATGAGGCAATTCAGGGGAACAGGGGGATCCTTGCTTTTACAGTGTTTGTTCTCAAGTAAATACTTCCATTTCTAGAACTAACAATTCAGGGCTTTCAAAAATGCTTCCCAAGAGAAGAACCAAAATCTTTTTGTAAGAAGGCTAGGTTCCACTGGCATTAATTAGTTTCATTCCTTGTGTGTTTGTATGACAACAATCAGGAGAAGCAATGATATTCACCTGAGTATGGGGCGTGAGGGGGGGGCAGTCAGGATTTCAGATGCATCTGGACTTCATTAAGTGAGGAATCCTTCTTGGTTATTTTAATATAATTCAGAGTCATTCGCTAAAGAAGTAGAGTTGTAACAGTTTACTTTTGAAGGTGGATGTGGAGAGAGTTTAAGAATGAGTTGCAGTCTACCAAAGCTATGATAGATAGAATTGGCAATCCAATTTGGAATATTCTAAGAATTTTATAGGTTTTTATTGCTGGGGGAAAAACCTGCCAAATTTTTATTGATCATTACTATGTGTTCATATAAATGAAAAAAATCTGTCACTTTTAGTTTAGGCAATATAAATATCTTTGCTGATAAATTCTGGTTTTAGTTATTTGTAATATCTTGTCTTTGAAAGCTATCCAGCTCTTCTGATGAACAACTTTCTAACTTACCTTTTTTTTTTTTTAACTACATATGACATCCATGGCTGTTATCTTTGCAGAATACACAAATATACAATAGGACTAATTAGGCCCTATCCTGACCCATGCCCCTGGCCACCTCTATCAACTGTGCAGATAGAGTATATTCTGGAAGTTCCCAACAGTTTTAATATTAGTAAAGTCAGATCTAATCAGATAAATTTACAATAGCAGATCCCCATATTATAAAAACCTATCAAACCTCATTCTATTTGGGTTTACCCTTTGGGTAATATATTTAATATCTCTATTTCCTTGTTCTTTCTTTTTCCTTTTATATTAGTGTGTGTTTATTCTCATTCTTCCCATGTGTCCTCCTCCTTCCTCCCTCCCCCTTTCTTTTTTTAATATTAATATATTATTTTATTTTTACTTTGAAACATATTGCCAACAGACTCTACAATCTAGAAAGCAGACAATACTTAAAGTCAATTCTCAACAACAGCTTATTTCGATGCTATGTTTATGTAAAGAGAAGTGTGAAAATATTAGCTCAATTTCTGAGGGTCTAAGTCATTTACCTTCTAATTCTGTACTCACCTTAGATATCTTTTGCCTATTTAAATACCTGTGAAAAAACTGAGAATCATTTATACTCAAGTCTTTGTTGAAACTTGAGGATCACATATGATTAGAACCTTGGCAGAACTATTAAAAGAGATTCTTCAAATTAGGGCTGTAGATACAAAACCCTCCCTCCACCTTTCTGTTTATGGCTAGATCAGATAGCCAAGAAAGCAACAACCCAAGAATATATATTATTGGAGAATTTCCTGGCTCCTAGGGGCCATTGACTTTCCCTACTTTTCAACAGAATGGGTATAAATTAATTCTTTAGTAACTTATCACTTGATTTTAAGAATTGCCAGAATTAATCCAACCAAAATTTAACATGTGGAAGCACTGTTGTTTTATATCAATAGCTTGATATTTTATTACTTTTGAGTTAAAAATTAAAAAGCACAAGTCAAGCTGACATTGAGGCCAAGCCTATTTAAGAACCCATTTGGAGATCTGAGAGTCTCAATCCCTTTGTTTTGGGGCCAATTTCCATGTCAGAGGGAAGTGGGGAGCTTGAAGACCATCTCCTGGGTCCCTTTCCTATTCTACCCCAAAGAGGAGCCTGGGCTGGTATTTCATTTCCTCTTGGTACACAGACAAACCAGATCTGTAGCCAGAAGGATAAGAAAGGAGAGTTGACAGAGCTCATTTACATAAGCTCCTTGCCACCCAGTCTGCTGTACAGATTCAGCTGGAGCTGGAGGCCCTTTATCTAAGTGTGACTGTCGGAGCTTATCCTACCAATCATTCTAGACACTGGCGTTGTTCAGCTGGTGTCAGATGTGTTCCCGTGATATATCCTGCGTGACTCAGAACATTATGGATAACTGAGGCCAGAGCAGAACTTAACTTCTAGTCAGCTTGCTGAGGCTTTTTCTTCTGCCTTTTTCTTTATACTGTTTGCTTTTCAAGCTTTTCCAAAAGCCAAAGCACTACTACAACAGAAATTCTCCTTCTGTTTCTATTCCATTTGTCCTCTGGGGAGCATGAATGTGGGCACCTCTGAGGCTTTAGGTGAGCAAGACAAGCATCACTGGAACAATGATGGAAAAGTTCCATGTCCATATATGTAGCTGATTTCAGACCACTGTCATTATACATGCACACTCATGCTCAGAAAAAAAGAAAATAATTTAGTAGCTCCAAAATTATGCTTCCTATTTATGCAGGTGGATGATGACCACTTAGAACTGCCAGAGCCCTTGAGCAAGCAGGGATCAGTCCTAAGTATTCCAAAGCAGGCCTAAGTTGATGTTTTGTTCTGTGTGGAAACTTTGAGACATGTTTTCAGAAGAAAAAAAAAATAGCTTTCAAAAACTTACATCTTAGGAAGCCATTCAACCAGCAGCTGTTAAGTTGGTCTAATGTTTATACTGACCTGAGTACTTTTACTCCGTGCATTATGTTAGCTGTTCCAAGAAGCCTTGAACCATCAAGATAGGGTTAGTCTTTACAAGTCACATTTTCTGTGAAGTGGCTATTGGGGACAATCTGCTGTCAGATAATGCTTCCAAAGGAAGAATTACTGTTTAAATGGATGTGCCTTCGCATGCTGTGGAAGCCCAAGTTCCTGCCAATTTAAGAAGGTAGCCCACTACTATTCTCTAAAGAAAAAAAAAAAAAGTCTTTCAGGTTTATTTAAAATACACCTTTTTTTTTTTTCTATTTATTCCAAGGCATCTTTTTCATGAGGAAGCTGCAATAAAACTATGGGGAGTGAGTGCCTGTTTCATTCCACCTTTTATGGCCTATTAATTTGTTACCATCTATTCACCTTTGTTGATGAAATTTTAAGTTTGCCCTTGCTTGAGCATATTGTAAGAATTGTATAAACTGCTGCTCCCCGGCTAACAAAAAGGTCCTTTTAGAGAGAACAATTGGGAGCTCATTTTATTTCTAGAGCACATTTAAAATAACTTATGAATGAGAGTTGTCAGACATGAAATGCTGTATTAATTAAATCTTTAGAAAAAGATTTTTTTTGCTTCTCCAGCTAAACCAACCATTTAGAAAAATACACGGCCAGGCCACCTTAATTATGGAGGAGGAGACAAAAAGTATCCTTCACATTCCTACGCCTGAATAAGAATAAGAACTCAATTCATCTAAATAATAACCCCATTAGCTGCTTAACTCAACAGTGCACATGGGAAAATTTTCAAACTGCAATGTAAAAAAAAGTGTTGATTGGGCGGATCGTTTTCAAGGTTTTGTTCTTTTAATGTACAAAATGATCATTTTAAGTAAGTCTGATATGTCATAACTAGTAGCTTTAGAGCACTTATGAGTTATGATAGAAGTTTTGTGTCCATATCAACTAATGTATCTTTTGTCTTTCAATATCCAGCAACAGTACCATTCAAAAATAGATGATTTGATTGACAACACTGTAAAAGAAATCATATCACTGCTAGTTTCAAAGGTAATGTATTATTTCTTCACCTTTTAAAATCAAATTTTAAAATAATCTTCAACTGATAATTTCAGAAATATCTGATATTTCTAAGTATCTAATTATCCAACTGGGTAACTGTAGTTTGAAAATTACATGCTACTGAAATTGTAATTTTAAGAAAAGTTGTAAATAATGAACAAGGCCTAGGGTTCAATCTCTAGCAAAAAGAAAGAGTGTGCGCAAAAGAGAGGAGAGAAAAATTATGAACAAAAAAATGATTTTGAGCAGTTCATCAAGAACTTCTGATATTTTTGTTCATAATGAATTTTTACTTTTTTGGCAAAAGTGTTACTCTTTTAAAAATAACTTCTTTCCCCAGTAATACCACTGACCATTTGTCTTAATTCCTGAGCGGATTAAATAATCCTCAGGCCTCCTAGTTGGCCCATTTGTTGTGAGGATAACATCAAGTCAGACTCAGAGACAGACAGGCAAAGCTGGAAGGATGGTTCTGGTTCTTCAATCCAAAGACTTCCTGTTTGATACTTAAAAATTCTTTGACAAAAACTATGTCCTTTAACTATATATGTAGAGATGAAGTATAAATGGGTATGCCAGTTAGTGGTTAAAGGAATTAGAATCCCACTAAGATGTAACAGACTGCTATGGGTGTCATTTTAGATGGAGGGATGGGAGGGAGGGAGGGAGAACCTGAGGACACCAGGAACTTAAAGAGGGTGAGGAGTTATTGGTTAATGGGTACAAGTTCACAGCCAGATAGGAATAACATAAAAGACGAATAAATAGAAAAGGACAAGTCAGGTTATCTCTGTTTGCAGATGATGTGAATCCATACATAGGAAAACCTAAGGATTCTACTAAAAGACTATTTGAACTGACATATAAATTTAGGAAATAGCATGATATAAAAATCAATATACAAAAATCAAGAGCTTTTCTGTATACTACTAGTGAATTTACTAATAAAGAAATCAGGAAAGTCTTTGTCAAAGAACCTCAAATAGGCTTCATCAAACAATTGTAAGAATGTATAAGAAGCAAAGGGAAACCACCTTCAGTCTAATATATAAAAGATATAGTTTCTAGAAAACAAAAAACAGATGTCCCATTAGCATGAAAAATGTTAAGCCTCTCAAATAGTTTAAGAATGTAAATTAAAATGACAATAATATGATATTTTCTCATACATTAGTATAGTTTTATTAAGCTAATACTTAGTATTTAAAAATGTAAGGTGAGACACTTAACATCTCCTGCATACAAGATGCTAGATTTTTTTAACCTTCCTGGAAGATAGTTTGGAAATATCAAATACATTAATATGCTTTCACCTTCTAACAGTTTTCCTACTAGACAGAAACAAAATATGTAAGTTAATATTTGTCATGCTAGCTACTTAAAATTTGGAAACATTTTAATCTCTTAAGGGAAATGACAAAGTACATTACAGAACTTCTGTGTTAAGAAACTATGCCTTCAGATGCTATCACTGATGAAGAGAAGGTTTTATAATGTAGTAGTTGTTAGAGAAATGCTGAATACTTAAAAGCATAAATATGACTTGAATTTTTTCATTGCATAGAAAAAAAGACTATTAGGATAAGCAGCCACAATGTTAACACAGCTTTTCTCTGGGTGGTGGGATTCTAGTTGGGTTTTGTTTTTTTCCTTTGTGTGTGTGGCTTTTTTTTTCCGTGTGTGTGTGTGTGTGTGTGTGAGTGTGTGTGTGTGTGTGTGAGAGAATGTGTGTATGTGTGTGTGTGAGAGAGTGTGTGTGTGTGTGTGTGTGTGTGTGTGTGTGTTTTCCAGTTTCTCTGGTAGCAGGTCTTAAAGTGGAAAAGAGCCATGAGGAAAGATGACTTTAGAATAGTACCATGTCACCAAATACCTACACTTTCACATTCATCACACATTCACCATCCAGTGGAAAGGAATTAAAGGAAAACTACCCTGTAGGTAGGTGGAGAGGTGGATCAACAGAAAATCAGAATTCTACCCTATAAGGAGTCCAGTGCAGCAGCCTGCAACCCTGCATAGTTGACCCACTAGAGTGAAGTAAAGCTAAGCTTGCCCCTTCCTGACACATCCAGGACAATTTCATTCAGATATAATCTATCCATCAGCACAGTCCTCCTAGAAAGTTGCCTTTTAAAGGGTTTGCAATCTTAACAACAGTGATTTAAATGCATGCTAGCTTGTAGATGATTTCAGCTTAGTTAGGCAGCATAGAAAAAGTCCAACTAGTTGTTTTTGTTTTTGTTGCTGGGGGAAGCCAGAAGGTTGGTTGCAGAGAAAGCAGACAGGGTTGCACCTCATCTCTACATTCAATTCTGGGAAATTAAGAAATTTAAATGTTTCTATATCAAATGCATCTGTTAACAGAAAAAAAAAATGTTATATTTTAATTAAGTAAGAAAAAGATATTATAAGAGTCAGCACTATCCAATAAAAAACTTCTCATGGCCCAGTACAGCAGGTTCTAATCACACATGTCTATGGAGCACTTGCAGTGTGGCTAGTGTAACTTAACTTTTAATTTAATTTCAGTTAAAATAGCCTCATGTATTTAGTGGCTAATATATTTGGGAATCAGGTCAAAATTATAGTTTTCTCTATGAATTATTTATCTGTCAAACAGTATTTATTAATTATCTTTAATTCCTTAGTTGAAAAGTATAAATTAACTTGGTCAGTTGACTCAAACGAGCTTCCATAACAGATGAAAATAGTTTTTTTCATTAATCCAAAACATTACGCATATTTTTAAATCATCTTATTAAGATATGATTGACATACAGAAATGTGTACATATATATATATAATGAGTTTGGAGATAAGTATACTATCATGAAAGCATCACTATAACCTATGCCATAAAGCTATGCATCACCTTCAAAAATTTCTTCTAGCCTTCTTAATTCATTATTTGGGTGGTAGTGTTACCACTGTTGACGGGTGACGAGTTCTTGCTCCCCGATGTTGAAGAATAACACCAGAAAAGCACTGCTGAGGCAAGGTCAGAGTAGAAATTAGAAGTTTATTAAAAGACAGCAGAAAAGACTTCTCCCGGAGGAAGAAGGGGACCCAGAGGTGGAATCCATGGAAGTGCAGTTGTTTCCCCTTTTTATAGTTCTTTCAGTGATGGAATGTAGGTTGGAAGGCCCGAGGGGTGGGACACAGGTGGGCCAAAGAAGTAGTCTGAGCAGGAAGGACTTCATTATCACTTCTTTGTGATGGGCTATCTTCAAATCTGCTGGGGGCTATTCATTAATACTTCTTCCAGGTGGACTTTGGCCTAGGGCCTCTTTGGGACTTCATTAACATTCCCTGAATTGTCCTGCGTTTTCCCTGAGTCATTCCCAGCATGGCCTCCATTTTAGATTTCACCCGGTATTAGACCCGATTTACCTAACTACACTGACTACCTAACTTTAAACCTGGCTTCAGTAGGGGATAACAGTACTCAACATGAGCTCTATCCTCTTAGCAAATAGTATTGCTAACTATAGAGACTATGCTGTACAGTAGATCTCTAGGATGCATTCATCTTTCATAACTGAAACTTTACCCTTTGACAAATGCTGCTCCATCTCACATCCCTATAGACCCTGGCTGCTATCATTCTATGCTTCCATGAGTTTTAACTATTTTAGATTCTTCATATAACTGATGTCAAGTAGTATTTGTCCTTCTATGCCTGACTTATTTCACTTAACATAGTACTCTAGATTCATCTCTGTTTTCTCAAAAAGATTTTCGTCTTATAAAGCTAAATAATATTACATATTATGTGTATATCACATTTTTACTTTCTATTTTTCTGTCACTGGGCATTTAAGTTGCTTCCAAGTCTTGGCAATTGAGAATAATACTTCGGTGAACATAGGGGTATAGATATCTCTTTGAGATCCTCATTTCAGTTCCTTTGGATATATACCCATTAGTGGGATTGCTAATTCGTATGGTGATTCTATTCATTCTTTTTAATTGTTTTAGGGATTTTCCATACTGTTTTACATAATGACTACACCAATTTACATTCCCATCAACAATGTTAAATTATTCTTTTTTCTCTACATCCTCAACAACTCTTGTTGTCTTTTCATATTTTTTCAGTTTCTGTTTTGTTTTATTGTGCTAGGAATTGAACCCAGGGTCTTCTACATACTAAACACATGTTCTTTTTTTTCATATTTTCATTTTTTATTGATTGTTCAAAACATTACAGAGCTCATGATATATCATCTTTTATACATTTGACTCAATTGGGTTTTGAACTCCCATTTTTACCCCAAATACAAATTGCAGAATCACATCTGTTACATACTCACATTTTTACATAATGGCCTATTAGTGACTGTTGTATTCTGCTACCTTTCCTATCCCCTACTATCCCTCCCCCCCCATCTTCCCTCTCTACCTCCTCTGCTGTTGTTCAATTCTCTCCCTTTTTTTTCCCTTCCCCCTTGCCCCTCATAACCTCTTATAATTTTGTGTAACTGAGCTACATCCCCAGCCCCTGGATCTAGCCACTCTGTGGATTCAGCCACTCTGTTTTACATTAAATGTAATTCTTGCTAAGTTAAGAATTACGTTTTGCCATTATGTATTGCAAGACATTCCTATTGTTAGCTTATTCATTGTTTTCAGAGTGTTATGTAGTTCTTTTCCTCTTCTCTTCCTCTCAGTTGTCTTCCTTTGTGATTTGAAGATTGATTGTGGTGATATATTTGATACATTTGTCTATCTTTTTTCCTATTCTTTAAAATTTCCCCCCCCCCACCTTGGTTACCATGAGACTTATTTAAAACTTCATATAGTTATAACAGACTGTTTCAAGCTGATAATAACATCAGTTACAAACAAAATCTTTGTACTCTTATTACACACACACACACACACACACACACATATACACATACACAATTATGTCATTGTTGCTTTATTTCTAATATCGTGTATCCATTAACAAATTTTTGTAGTTATACTTTTAACTTTTATGTTAG